GAAGGTAGATCAATATCATGTAGATAATAAACAGAATAATTATGGTATTTGTACTTTTGTGAATTTATCTCAAGTTTACTAAGATTAAAGACAACAATACAATAGTTAGCTAGAAACTTCATTTTAGTGAATGAACTTCTTAAAACTACATATAAATGTTCAGAGGTAGGAAAAAATACACCTTAAAATACTAATATAGTGTCTTTTAATTTAAATGTTGAGAAGAACTTTGCAAATATGTAGTAGAAAAAGTAATTTTTACATATGTTCCTTTGGTTCACTAAATTTCCTCCTTTTTGGCACTGACTCTTGACTAGAAGAATCAAAGTGATGGAGAACCTGTCAAAAGAAGAAAACTACTTAGAATACTTTCCAGTGTAAATGTCTTTATCTTTTGTCATGTCTCTAAGGTTTCTTTAAAAAAAATACCTAGCATATCAACCATAACTATTTTCAATTATGGTAAGGATACCCAGGTTATTTAAAAGTAAGGTAAAATTTATTACTGACATATGTACATCTTTTTTTTGTGGGGTGTATGTGGCCAATAGGGATTGAACCCAGAAGTGCTTTACCACTAAGCTACACCTCCAGACCTTTTTCAATTTTTAAGACCAGGTCTCACTAAATTACTTAGGGCCTTGGTGAGGCTGTCTTCAAATCTGGGATCCTACTGTCTTAGCCTCTCAAGTTGCTGGGATTACAGGCAATTGCCACTGTGCCCAGCTTATAAGTACATATCTGATGGCTGCTGAAAAGTAAATACCTTCAAAGTATAATATCTTCATTAAGGTTGTCATAGAGGTTAGAAGATAGATATACATGGTATCCTCAAAACAGTCAAACATTTTGGGGTGATGAGAAGGGAAAATATTTTAATTTACAAATACAAAAACCTTCTACCTTGGTACTTCTGTAAGATTTAAATAATGTCTTGATTTTGTACTTCTGGTACTTAGTAGTGCCTGCTAGAAATTAGACATACACACACACACATACACATATTTTGTGCATGTGGTATTTAAAATTGAACCCAGGACCTCATGAATGCCAAGCAAACACTCTCCCATTGAGCTACATACATACCTGGCCCTAGTGTATACCCTTTTAAGTGAATGGTAAGATGAATTAGGAAATTACTAATAAGAGCCCCTGAGTTATTGATGTTTGATTTTGATGGGAAAAGTTGAACTATGCATAACAAATTTAATTATGATTTTGCCAAAAAAATGAGGCTTAATACATTTGGAAAAATTGAAGAACCAAATGTATTGATTGTCAGTTATTCCATTTCATTCTTAAGTTATGTAAATTGAAAATAGTATTAATCAAGTATATTTTGATATTACCTTTTTTTATGTGTCGAACTCAGGACTGAACCCAGGGGTGCTTTTACAACTGAGTCACATCCCCAGTCCTTTCTATTTTTTATTTTTTAAAACATTTTTTAAAATTGTTTATGGACCTTTACTTTATTATTTGTATGTGGTGCTGAGAATCGAACCCAGTGCCTCACACATGCTAGAGTCACAACCCCAGCCCTCTACTTTTTATTTTGAGATATGTTTTCACTAAGTTGCTGAGGGTGTTACTAGGTTACTAAGATTGGTCTCTAACTTGTGATCTTCCTGCCTCAGCCTCCTGAGTTGCTGGGATTACAGGCATGTGCCACTGTACCCAGCCTTTAATATTACCCTAATTTTAACATTTGATTTTTAAAAAATAATCTTTAAGTTTTTAGTTGTCTAATTCTAATCTACTAATGGTATGAAAATTTTTAGTTGAAAAAATATGAGTAAGTATCCCAAAAAAGACAAATACATTATCTGATTTGGTATAATAAAGTTCTGATTATGCAGCAACTATATAAAATTTAGGTCAAGAAAAGTTTTCATTCTCCTGAGATACTAGAAAATGCTATATTTTTTGGTAACTTTCTAAAGTTTCTAGTTTAGTTTTGATCTGTAGAAAGCTCAGAAAAATTTGTGATCCAATTTCAGTTCCATATAAACAACATGACTTGGATATTATGTCATTTTTTTCATTCTATTCAAATTTTTCCTGACACCAATTTTATTTATTTTATAAATTTCTCTAATAACTTTAAATCATTCATGGAATGAGTCAATAGCTATTTATGTGTAAAATATTAATACACTGAAATACTGCATCTTATTTGATTATATGTGTGGGGTGGGGTGTGTGGGTGTGTGTATGTATATGTGTATGTGTGTGTGTATATATACACACACATTTTTTTAAACCCAGATGCACTTTACCACTGAGCTATATCCCCAACCCTTTTAATTTTGAGACAGGTCTCTTTACCTTACTTGGGGCCTCACTAAGTTGCTAAGGCTGGCTTTGAACTTGTGATCCCCTGCCTCTGCCTCCAAATCACTGAGATTACAAGTGTGTGCCACCATGACTGGCTTGTATCTTATTTTAAAATCACCTCATTTTTAGAACAAAATATTTTTGAACAAGATTTGAATATCAGAGCTCTGAGGTCTGTTCAGGGATATGATCAAAATTTTTTAAATATTTATTTTTTAGTTGTAGTTGGACACAATATCTTTATTTATTTTTATGTAGTGCTGAGGATTGAACCCAGGGCCTTGCACATGCTAGGCACGCACTACCACTGAGCCACAACTCCAGCACCATGATCAAATTTATTATGTTAATCTATAGTAGTGATATTCTGATACTTGGCTTTTTAATATAGGTTGAATTTTATTCACAATAGGTATGAACATTATCATAAGACTTACTGTTTTCCCAGATTCAGGTTGATTTCTCTTCCGATTTTCTTTAGAAGATTTTACTGGTGGATTTCCATTTGCCTCCACAAAGATAGAGTAATTACTAATTGGTTATTTCTCAGAGAGCAACCAATAGTTGATTTTTCTTTAAATGAATGACTACATGCATTTTTTTTAAAAAAAAACAGCCTTATTTAGATGTAATTCAGATATTATACAATTAACCTATTTAAAAGGCTACAACTAAATGATTTTAAGTGTATCCAGAGTTGTACAAACATATCACAATTTTAGAATATTTTCATCATCCTCAAAAGAAGCCCTAATATCCTTCAGTTAATACTGTTATTCCTCTATCCTCCCACCAGCCCTAAGGCTTTTCTTTCTCAACAGCTTTCCCAATTGTGACTTTAACATGAATGGAATCAGATGATATGTGAACTTTTGTAAATGGCTTCTTTCAATTGACATCATATTTTCACGGTTCATCCATGTTATTGCATTGTACGGTTAATTCCATTCCTTTTTATGGCTGAATATTTCTTTGTAGGATTTAAGACAATTCATTTTATCCATTCATCTGCTACTGGACACTTAGATTTTTCCTATCTTTCAGCTATTGTGAATAATGCTGTACATACAATTATTAAAATGAATACTATAAGATGGCAAATTATTAACTGACATAATACTGTTCTTTAAAAGAACATATTTCTTTCCTCATGCTTGAATAATCCTTCCCAATGATAACCTCCTTTATATATTTATTATCACATATTTTAATTTCTTGACATTTCCTAGCCCCAATTCAGCCATGATTCTCAAAATTACAAGTATCCTAAGACTTCATCTC